AGTTTTAGTAAAAAAAAGTATTCTACCACTAATTTTTTTGTATAATCTTAAGTACGGTTTCACGACCATGCAATGTGTAACTCCCACCTGAAAATTGTGGAAACCACAATAATAATAAATGAGATACTTCCCCAGACTGGCCAAATTTTTGGCGTAAGTAACAATTTTGGACCACACTTTTGAATATTACAGTTGTGGCCAACTTTCAAATGAAATAGACAAATTTAGCTTGCAATTTGAATGCACCGTCAAAATTGACGGTCAACTGTTTTTTCTTTTAATGACTCAGCATATTGTGCTGACTAGTATAGTGGATTTGAGTGTTGTGCCTAGTAGTAATCTCCCTAACATCACTCAAAGCATGCCTTGTCTGCAACTCGTCAGCCTCCTTCCTTCAATTTTTCTTTGGACGACCAAGCATGCACCTCACTCTTAGAGGGGAGACCTTGTACCCTTCGTCCCTTCCACGGGAAGCCATGCTTGTGGGCCTTTTGAATCTAGAATTGGGTACTTGCAGACATTTCTTACATATTGCAAATTAAAGAACTGATCTACATAACGATGCACATCAAACTTCATCAACCGTACTACAACAACCGTGTGGCAACAGGGTATCCCGTTAAGATCCCAATAACCTCATGTGCAAGCCTCCAAATCAACAACAAACCATTTTCCCATGTACTTGAACCTTGTGTTTGTGAGCTGAGAATGGATGACTATTACGCATATTCTAGCCTCATCCTTGTGATGTTCAACCTTGGGCTTCACACATGGAGGGAACTTGCCGGTACAATATAATGACTCATCTTCCTTTTATTGACAATGAGCCTAGTCATTATAACCACCCTAATTCCCTCTAGCATAACAATCACCCTCAACACCCTAAACTTCATAATCCAACTGTTAAAAATACTCAGACACATTGAATGAGTCTTCGTGAATACTTGACATAATTGCTCCAGTTCTGTAGCCATAAAATCATCATGTACATTCCCTTCAAGAACTTGCATCTTAGTAGTGGCAACTCTCAAATCATCCTCATTAGTTGAATAAACAACCTATCACTAAAGATCCGTCACAACGTCAACTTTTTGCACTATGAAGTGTGCATAGACATGGTGAGCACACTTCCTATGCGCTGCATGTAGCGTACACTCATGTAAAGCCTCCACCAAACCTGCCGAGTGATATGAGACAAACAAAATATTAGAACCTTTAAAACAGTACATGATATAAAGCAAACTTACTATTAGAACCTCTAAAACACTACATGATATAAGGTAAATAAACAATTTCATTGAATACTTTCTATTGATCATATGTTATTGCCATTGTTGTGTACTACATGAAGTTGTTCTTACAAAGTACACAAAAATCATGTTCACGAGCTCTCGTTTTCAGACACAACTATTGCCCATGCTATTGGGTACATATGGTTGTTTCGTCATTCCCAACAACAAAACTAAGTAGCATTCATTTTACCTCTCATTTCAATAAGCATCCATCAAGGCATAAAGAAAGGCATGCACTTCTCCAAGAACCCTCGACACAAGTTGGAAAATCCCACATAGGATCGGTTGAAGAAAATTTTTGTGGATCCTATGTCCACATCAACCTCTAGACAAAAGCTTTCATCCGGGTCAATTTTCTGAAGATGTCATATACATAACCATGTTCTGTGAAAATATTTTTCTATTGTCCCATGGAAATGTGTCTCGCTTCTAGTCGAGCTAGATAAGAAGCTTTTCTCATCAAATCCAAATTGTACTTTCTTCTTAATATACAAATGACACCTTAGGAATTTCAGACAAAATGTATAAATAGGGCTATCTTTAGGAATGACAATGGGCACGTCCGGGGCGGGTTTTTTAATACCCAGACCCGCCCCATGGCAGGTTGGGTATTTTATCACTAGTCGCGGGTCGGGCAGGTCGACCTAATGGGTATGCAATTTATATGAAGACATTAGAAATATTCGTTATTTTTATTATAAGACAAAGAAAACAAACAATATTATGATAAACGTAGTTAAATTATTAGAGAAATTGAGGTTTTCACTAATTTACAACTTTATTATAACAAAAATATTATATAATAAAAGAAAAATGGGTAAATTACAAGTTTGGTCACTAGAATTACTTAATAATTTCACGTTTGCCACTAAAATTAATTTATTTCATCCATAGTCACTTGAATTAGTTTAATGATTCAAATTTGGTCTCTGACCTATAATCTCTGTTAACTTTAGCTGAGGTGGCAGTCAACTTTATAGTTGACCGTTAAGTTTGTGACATGGCAATTAAAAAGTTAATAAAAATAAAAAATTTATTATTTTCTAATTTTCACCTCAACCATTAAAACATAAAAGAAATAAAAATAAAACTAGCAGCCTCGTCTTCCTAAATTACCTTCCGGCCAGAACCGGACCCTCCTCCGGAAGCTCTCCACCCCTCGGCGAACAAAAATTACCGTCCTCCTCCACCAGATCTCAACCCACAATTCTCGCCCTCTCAAATCCCGGCGAGAATGACGTTCGAATCAGAAAACCAGAGCCGGCAATCCCCTTTGGCGGAATTTTTGCCGGAGACAGAGCAGATAACGCATAGGTAAAACTAGGAGTGGAAGTTTGGTTTGCGGGTTGCGAGTAACCCGCAAACCGCACACTTTGTGGATACCCATACCCACAAATTTGTGGATAGTGGGTTGGGTGTGGGTAGCAAAATATTGACTTTTGTGGGTGGTGGTTAATCACTACCCACAGCGGTTTACCCACAAAACCCACATTAACCACATTAGTTATATTTATTTCTTCAAAATACTTTGTAACTCACATTAACCACATTAGTTATATTAGTTTGTGAAACTTGGAAGACTAAGAATTAAAGTAGCTACCAAAATCAAATATACACTTATTCTATAAAGCAAAACCCCAAGTCAATACACAATGTTCATGTGAGATACTTTATTAAATAAGCATTGTCCCTATGTTATATGTTTATTTTATAAAAAAATCAAGTCCATAGATATAGTCACATAAATTAATCAATTCGTTAAAAGAGGGGAATAATCGATAAAGGTTAGTCAGATACCCAAACTCATCTCCATTTCTCCATGAACTCACGAACAACACAACATGCAACCAACTACCAACAACACAAGACTATAATCGAGAGTGGAGAATAATCGATTCATTAAAAGCGGGCGCCTCCACTTATCGAGCCACTTTTGTGTTTTGCTGTTGTTGCCATCGGAGGAGTTGTGACATGCAATGATGTGAGTCTGGTAACATATCACTCTGCCTCTCCGTCATTTCAAAACTTTTTCCAAATCCATCACTTCTGAATTTACACTAACTAACATATTGTATTCGAGATTTATAATTTATTTTAGGGTTAATATTTTCGTATGACCTGAACTTTGACCAAAATAAACATCCTGGCCAATCTTTTCGATCTATAACATCCTGGCCCGAACTATACACCAAAATAAACAATTTGGCCAAACCCGATGTTTGACCGTTAACTTGGACGGTCAAAAATGCGTTGACTAACGGTTAACACGCCACGTAACTGCCAAGTCAGAAGATCTGATAAATATTTAATTTTTTTCTTTTTTTCTTTTTTGTTTAACTAAGGTAATAGATGATTTTTTTTAATTTATAATAATTTAAAATTAGGGAATTTGTGGAAATTGTGAATTATTTTAAATATTTTATGCTGACTTGGCAGTGACATGGCGCGTTGACTAACGGTCAACGCGTTTGACCGTCCAAGTTAACGGTCAAAAGTCAGATCTGGACAAATTGTTTATTTTGGTGTATAGTTCGGGCCAGGATGTTATAGATCGAAAAGATTGGACAGGATATTTATTTTGGTCAAAGTTCAGGCCATACGAAAATATTGACCATTTATTTTACACTTTATTAACTTTCTTTTATGTATGTTTTTGTTTTTGTGTGAAAAGAAATAAAACATCAATATTTAATTACAATATTATTATATTTAATGTGAAATTTTTGTGGGTATTCACAACCAACCCGCACCAACTCGCAGCGGGTAGTGGTTAACCGCAAAATGTGGGGCGAGTAACCACACCCACCCCAATTTCCACCTCTAGCTAAAACCTGGTTTGCTAGCCGACCAGGTTGAAAATGATGGCTTTGAAGGAGTCATTGTGGGAGAAGAGGAAATCTCCGTCGTTGTCGATGAACTGAACGTTGGTTGTAGTGAAGTTAGGGAAGATGAACTCCTACGTCGGCTACCCACTCGACCTCCCACTCCTACCACTTGCGAAGGAGTTTTACATCGGCGGCAGCCGGCATGTGACGACACGGTAGGTTCCGAGGCCATTTTGGTAATTTTTATTTGTTTTCCAATTTTTTATGTTTTAATGGGTGAGGTGGAAATTTGAAAATAATAAAAAATTTATTTTTATAAATTTTTAATTATCACTTCACATACTTAACGATTAACTATGAAAGTTGACTGCCACGTAAGCTAAAGGTAACAGTGACTAACGGCCAGTGACCAAATTCGAATGATTGAACTAATTTAAGTGACCACGAATAGAATAAAGTAATTTTAGTGGCAAACGTGAAATTGTTTAGTAATTCCAGTGACCAAACTTGCAATTTACCCAAAGAAAAATGTTAAGTAATTTGACTAAGATTACATGTAATTTAAGCAAGAACATGTCGAGAATGGGACGGGTCTGGGCAGGTCGATGAGAGTATCCATGCCCGCCCCGTCCCGCCTACGGGCCGGGTCGGACCCGCCCCAAAACGGGCTAAACAAATCGGGTAAAATAGGTGAGGTCGAAATTGCCATCACTAGCTATCTTCGAGGAGAAATAAGAATAGTTTGACCATAGGAGTCTATGTTGTGTTTTGCTTAGGAGAGATCAGGGGTTCGAATAACCTAGTAAGCATTTTTGTACAATCGCTATTCAAAAATCTCAAAATTGAAAATACAATTGCTAGATGAAAACAGGGTTCCGCTTACCGCCGCGTTGCCTCCATTCTCGACCACCAAAAATCAAAATACCCTCTCTTATCACTGCATCCCCAGAAATTGGAGTGAAGTGCTGATTTGAAAGGGGTAGGAGAGGAACGAGTTGAGTTCATGGAAAAACCCTCGGAAGATAATTCCAATTCGTGAATTTTCCTTGTTCTCCAGAAAATTCAACTTGTGGCTGTGGTAATCAGCCGGGAGGGGGCGCAATGTTAAAGCCTCGACTTAAATCGTCCCTTCCAAAATCCTCTTTCCGTTCTTGCCTCCCCTTCTCTTCTGGAGCGAACAACTACCAGGTCCCGAACATGGCTTCAAAAGTTATTCACTTTCTGTCCAGCGATCCTCGGTGGCCTAATAATCCGGAGCTGAAGAAGTTGGTCCCCGGCCTAAGGCCTCCTCAGGTGAAGGAAATTATCAGCACCCATAGGAGTGCAGAGGTCGCGTTGAGGTTTTTCTTCTGGATCTCTAAGAATCATTTTTACAAGCATGATGTGGCCAGTTATGTTTCAATGTTGAATAGGCTTGTAAAGGACCGATACTTAAATAAGGCGGATGAGGTCAGGATTCTGATGATTAAAGCTTGTCGAAATGAGGGGGAGCTTAGGAGCGTGATTGAGTGTTTGAATGACATTAGACGAAAAGCTGGTTTCCAGTTCAGTTTCCATACTTATAATGCTCTTCTGACTCAGTTGAACAAGTTTGGTATGGTTGTATTAGCTCAAAGCTTGTATAATCAGCTTTTGGAAAGTGGAATGACACCCAGTTTGGTGACGTTTAATTTGGTGATTAATGTACTGTGCAAGAAAGGACAGGTTCAGGAGGCTGAGTTGGTGGTGAGCAAGATTTTGGAGCTTGACATGTGCCCTGATGTGTTTACTTATACTTCTTTGATCCTCGGACACTGTAGAAACAGAAATCTGGATAAAGCCTTTGAAGTTTTCGACACGATGATTAAGCAAGGATGTGATCCTAATTCGGTTACATATTCAACTCTGGTCAATGGATTGTGTAAGGAGGGTAGATTAGATGATGCAATGGGTATGCTTGAAGAGATGAATGGGAAAAGGATAGAATCTTCTGTGCACACATATACAGTACCAATCAGTTCTTTGTGTGAGTATGGGCGTGTAGATGACGCCGTTAGGCTCTTTAGAAGTATGAAGGACAAGGGTTGCTACCCAGATGTGCACAACTATACTGCACTTATTGGTGGTTTGTTTCGTGCTGGCAGAATGGAAATTGCAATTGGACTCTATCAAAAAATGTTGAAGGATGGTTTGGTTCCCAGTGTCGTTACATATAACTTATTGATCCGTGAACTGTGTGTTGAAGAGAAGTATGACATTGCTTTTAATTTCTTTGCCTGGATGGAGCGACATGGTTCCCTGGCTAATTCACTGACCTATAATGCAATAATTAAGGGGTTGTGTGACAGGGATGATATTGAGAAGTCCATGCTCCTTTTTAACAAAATGTTGAAGGATGGCCCTCCACCAACTACCGTGACGTATAACACGCTCATTCTTGGGAACCTTAAACAGGGAAATCATGACAATGCTTTGAGGTTACTGGACATGATGAAGGACACTGGTTGTGAACCTGATGCATGGACTTATTCAGAGCTCATTTCGGGTTTTTGCAAAGGAGGAAAATTGGAGACAGCTGCTTCTCTTTTTGATGAGATGGTTAAACGTGGCATTGGGCCAGGTCAGTGGACTTATACTGCTCTGATTGATGGTTACTGCAAAGAGGGCAAACTTGATGTTGCTTTGGCATTGTTAAAGAGAATGAGAGAAAATGGTTCTCCTCCAAATATTGAAACTTATAATGCCATTATAAGTGGATTTTCCAAGCAGAATCAGTTTTCAGAGGCAGAGAGACTGTGTGCTGATATGTCAACTGAAGGCTTGGTACCAAACGTCATCACCTACACATCTTTAATTGATGGGTTGTGTAGGAATGGTGCAACCGATATGGGATTCAAGATTTTTAACGAGATGGAAAGTCATGATTGCAGCCCAAATTTACAGACGTATACCTCACTCATCTATGGCTTGTGTCAAGAGGGGAGAGCCGATGAGGCAGAGAGATTGCTAGAAGAAATGGAAAGAAAGAGAATTTATCCTGATGAGGTTACATTCACTGCTCTTATTGATGGTTTTGTGATGCTTGGTAGAATGGATAATGCATTCTTACTGTTCCTAAGGATGGTTGACATGGGTTGCAAACCAAACTTCAGAACTTACTCCGTGTTACTGAAAGGACTGCAAAAGGAAACCCAATTGTGTGCAGAAAGAGTAGTCGCTCAGAATGAGGCCGTCTATCTGCATGACTCAGTTAGCAGAGTTACCAATTTTGATTTGATTTGTCATCTCTTATCTAGATTATCAGAGATAGGATCTGAACCGACAACGGATGTGTACAGTACTCTGATTAGTGGCTTGTGTAAAGACGGAAGATCCCACGAGGCAAACCAGTTGGTAGAATACATGAAAGTGAGGGGTATGTATCCTACTATGGAGATGTACTCCTCTCTTCTAGTTGCTCACTGTAAGAATCTTGAAGTAACCCCTGCTTTCCGGATTTTTAATTTAGCAAAGCTTGAGGGGTTCAAGCCTCCTCTGTCTGTCTACAAAGTGCTTATTCATGCTCTATGCATAATCAATCGTGTGGAAGAAGCTGAGGATTTGTTGAAGTCTTTACTGGAAGAACAAAAGTGTGGTGATCTGATTGTTTGGACAGTTCTGGTTGATGGGCTACTGAAAGGAGGGAAATCAGAACTATGCATGAAGTTTCTTCACCTAATGGAGTCTAGAAATTACTCACTTAGTTTACATACATATGTTGGTTTGGCAAGAGAACTTTCCAAAGCAGGTAAATTGATAGAAATGGATCAAGTGCTCATCAAGCTTGACAGTTTGAAGGCAAAGGTGTCACAAGTATCTTTGCTAAAGCAAGAGGTGCTTCCGGTGTCTGTTGAGGAGAGATAGTTGTTATTGTTTAAAATACAGCAATATCATTTTGACAGTAATGAAAAAATCTTTTCATTCTCATTTTCTATAAAAATTCTTTGAGCTGATCAGCATGTTCATACCCCCCCCCCCCCCCTCCCTCCCTCCCACCACACACACAAACACACACCCCACACCTGGCCACCAAAACTCCCACTCCCTGGACTCCTCCTCGCCTCTCCGTTTAGGCCAGGTACTTCCATTCTCACTTAATTTCTAATCGCTTATTTGTTCAGGTTCTGTAATTTCCTTCCGATGTGGAGCTTTGCAGTTCAGAACTGTTCCGGAGGTTTTCCTGCGTCCAATTGTTTCCCGTTGAGCTTCGCGTTATGGATGCTTGCTTTGGCTAGCTGGTACTGATTTTTCTAGGATTATTGAACTATTGCTTGGAGAATCTAGTTTAGCTCTGTCTAGGTCTGAAATGGAGTGCCAAGTAATCCTTGCTGATCTCCAAAGGGTATACGTTTGATAATGGTGGTGTGTTCTGTTTCTGTAAATTTCTTCCCCTGCTGTATGTTTAAGTTACAAGCTGTTTCGTAGGGTTTCTCCTTCATTTGCTCCCTTTGAGCTTCGATTGGCAGATGCTTGCACTGCTAGCTGTCACTCTGTGATTTTGCTGTGCTTTTGAACTGTATTAGTGTCTGCGGAACGTGTTTGGTTTTCTTGAAGAATTTAGTGTGCTTACCTCTCGATTTTTGGCTATGCATTCTGCTTGATTCTTGACATCGATTCGTCTCTGGTTAGTTTCCTAGCTTGAATTGTGCTGTTTAGTGTGGAGTAGTTTGAACAATTTAGATGTGTATTTGTATTGCACACAGGATTCCGCTGACTGGAAAAGTTGAGAAAAGGACTCAAGTGGATCCAATGAAACCTGTGTATGTTGGAGAGTCCCCCCAGGTGGTTCGTGACGAACAGGCGAGATTGCAGAAGCATGTCGTTGGTTTGTACACGATTTGGATCCTGAATTTTGAACTTTTTGGTGTCTGCAGATCCCACTGTTGAAGTTGCATCCACTCTTTTTCTGGTGATGCACTAGTGTCTGGAGGTATGGACAAGGAAACATGCCTTTCATGGATGATTTGTGGGGAGAAAGTCTGTGTCTGGAGTTACTTGTCATCTGCAGCTTCAAACCGTTTCATACCGCCGCGTTGGTGGATTCAGGATTGCGTTTAATATGGGTTTATTGGTTGGTTTGGATGGGTTAGTGAGTTGGTGGATCATTCGGCATCCATGAAGAAGAAGCGTAAGAGTTGCAGCAGCAGTAGCTTTGGAGGAGCAGGTACGGTGTAATTTACCCTCTGAAAATTGTTAGTTTGAAAGGGTAACTACCGTCTTTAAGGAAATTGTTCGTCTAGTTGTTATAGTACACCGCGAAATGATTTTCTTTCGAGTTTTATACAATACCGACTAGTTTTTAGAACGTATAGATTTTTCTTTTGAGCTTTATACAATACCAACGAGTATTTTAAAGGTATATTACAGACTGCAGACTATTTGTGACAACATCACTTTTTAGTACATTGAAAAGAGTATTTTAAGGACTGTACTCGATTAAATTTGAAGAAGTTTCTTTTCGTTCATATTTTTTTCTTTGATTTAGTTCATTGAGTTCATAGACATGGTATTATGTGCAGTCTGGCTGTTGCACACCACTGTCTTCATGTGAGTTCACCATGAAGAACGAGACTTCTGGATACCACCAAAGAAAGGGATCGTCGCAGGAGGAGATCCAGACTGCAATGGGTGGAACGACAAGCAGAACGAGTTGTGCTACGACTGTCAGTCGTGCCAGGCGTCCTTTGTGTACAATATCAAGCAGCAGTGGAGGTCTCTGGCTTTCATTAATGTCTGTGTTCTTATACTCCCCTTCTTGGTCTATATTATTGGTTGTTGTGCTCAGTTTAGCAATTCGTCATCGAGTTCCAATAGAAATTATCTCAGCCGGTAAGGACCCTTGATGATCTCTCTCTTCACCAGTTTCCCCCAAGTGTAGCTTTAATCTGATTCATTTGTTCTTAATTCTTGTTAGTTTCGGTCGTTGTAGCTTGTTTCAGTTGACCATTCTTCTCATGTTGTTGGATTATACTTGTTTCTTCTGTTGTTTCGAATTCAAGGGAAAGGTTGCGTACTTGTTCTTTGTTCTTTTGTCATGAGAACAAGTGTGAAGCCGCATAACCCTAGTTGCAAGAGCTCTTAGGGTGTAATATGCAGAGACAATTTCGTGACTAAAAATAAAACTTTGTGCCATTCACTTTCATTTTTGTTTTCTGTTTTCATTCCATAAATCTAGCAACGAAAAGAAGAAACCTGTTTAGTTTTTATTATTGTTTTTTTTTTTCATTTCCAACTCTGAAACAAGAAAGTGGCAGCTTCCTTTTCTGCAGATTTCATTTTCTGTTGCCAAAACAGAATGAGAAATGAACGGGACTTTACGTATTCCTGGGAATGTGGAGAACGTTCGGAATCTCCTGAATCATCCAGTTGCGCAATCCAAACAAGGTAATAGACGCAAATTAGATGCAATATCATCCACAACGTCCTCATGTACACGTCTTTGGAGAAGAGATTATACTGAGATTGGTTATCTTCATTTTTACAGGTCTATGCTTTGATTGGAGGATTTGCCATTGCCGGCTCCCCTCCCCAGTTAACTTCCACGCCAAGGATGGTTCAATCAGGCTACAAGTTCTTGGGGGAGATAGTGGTCCAACTAGACAAAATCAACCCTCAGGTTTGTAATTCGTCATCTTAATGATGAGATGACATGCCCCAGGATCCCTTCCTTCCCTAACTAGTTAACACCCCCCTCCTTGGGATGGTGCATTTTGCAGGAGGCGATACAATGAAACCAGGCAGAGTCTCGCCAAGGTAAACTGCACTAAACAAGTAGCTTTGGCCTTTGATGATGTTAGTAGTCTTGTTGTGCTCCAAAGATGACTGAACGCACTCTTTTGTTGTTGTTGTTGTTGGTGGTGGTGGTGGTCTTGTTGCTGGCACAGTTGGAGATGATAGTGTCTGCCAACGGACTGTCGGAGAATGTCTTCGAGATTGCTTCCAAAAGTTTGGTTGTCTCAACTTTTTAACGACGCAAACCAAGTTCCACAGAGGTGTTAGAGTTTAAAGAACAGTTAAGTTTTTTATGCGAACGAAAGTTTGTTTCATCTGAATCCTATATCGAATTTTCGTGCACAAGAAATGTAATCATGGATGTGGTGGGATCGCCATTTCCACAAGAAAGAATGGTTTAATAGATTATCACCAGCTTTGTTCTCTGTGATCAATGGCAACTGCTACATGGCTTCCAAACATATATAACTCTGATTAGAAATAGAGTAGCAGACTGGACAAGGCAGAAACATATTTATGCGTAGATACTAGGCCTAAACACAAAGAATAACAACTACTATCCGCCTAACAGAACCCTTCACTTGACCAAAAGTTTATTCAAGAGTGAGACTTCTGATATATCCAGAATTCAATTAATTACTAGAAGGGACCGGAGCTGATTCTAGGTTGGGGATTTCTTTCTTCAACTAATGAGGGCTTTACTTGTACAACAGGTATGAGTTTTAATACAAGATTGTAAATCGTATTAGAGGGTGTATCAGATAAGTCAGTAATAGAGTATTTTATAATGGATCTCTGGTTTAATTGTAATATAAACAGTTTCATATCAGTAAATTCTACATCTGATTGGGCTCTGATAGTCAATTTATGTTCGGTCTAGACCGATAGTACGATGCGATTTAGCAAACACTGGTTCAGTTTCGCAACCTTTAATCAAGAACAAGTTAATTTATATTTATATTGGTTTTTAGTGAGCAAGAGTATAGTTAAATATAGCCTGAAACCAGGAGGCATATACATGTAAATAGGGATGGGCATTCGGTCGGTTCGGTTCAAACCAAACCAAAAAAATTCTTACCGGTACTCTAGTTCCAGCAGAGGCCAAACAGATTTTGAACCGAATTATATTTCAGTTTCGTTTGACCAAATCGAAATATTACTCGGTTCGAAACGGAAAACCTGAATTTCGATCTTCTCTCGTTCTCTTTTTTCTTCTTTTCATTGACAAAAGACCCCCCCACAAAACCTCCTCAAACCTCTCCCACTTTCTCTTCTTTCTTCCCTCTCTGTCGCAACATTAGAAACAGAGAATCGTGCCTTTTGTTTGAAGCCTTCCAGATATCCAATATTTCATTCAATGCCTTGCCTTTGTAGACAAACATACCTACTTTCAGGTGGTAGAGGCCCCTGGACTCGATTCTCATCCATGCTTCTCCAATTGAACTCCAAAGTAGGCATCACAAACACGTTCCCAGACTTGGTCATTTTCAGCAGTTTCCCAGTTTTGGCATAGCATTTTGATCAGGTTCAAAAATGGTATTCTGGACTTCCTATCGAGCTCCCAAGTACTTCAATGTGTAGAGGGACACTCCAGCTTCAAAACAAGTAATTAATCTCTAATTTCCATCAAGCCAATTGTAAGATATGAATCTCCAAAGTAGGCACCATGAAACTGTTATTACACAGAAACAACATATTAGGTCGCCCGTCGACCTAATGCTAACTGAGGTCGACCAAAAAGTGCAAGTTACGGTGACTTGCAAGTCACTGTAGCAAAGTCCTCGAGAATATTATACTCCTTTAACACATACTAGATATGGGCCCACCCGTTAGATGGCTATATATATTTTTAGTTTTATAATAAATTCGTTATTGGAAGGATAAATTACGTAAATGATATAAACAATAATAGTAATTGTTCATAAAAATAAATATACATGGTAGAGATTTTTTACATTCTAGCCAATTCTCTAGTGTAAGGATGAAAGTAAATAACCAAACTCATGCAAGATAACCAAACTCATGGTTGAATTTGTGACCGTTCGCTCTCTCATCCAACCTCTTCGCCGTTTTGAAGTCTGTAACAACATGATGTCTTCGTCTTCGCTTCTCGGCTCCGCGATTTCCAGGAGAGCGGATCCAGTGACTAAGGGGGGGTGCTTAGTCACTTGACTAAGCCCCTCCCAGCCCTTAGATCTGGACACTTCAATCCAATGGTTAAAAAGTGGGAAGGGCTATTTAATTAATGACAGGGGTAGTTTGGGTATTATGGAAAATTATGAAGTATACAAACCAGATTTACAATCAGTACAAACCATACAAACATACGAACAGTACAAACTAGAGCGACAAAACATACAAACAGATTTACAAACATTACAAACGTATGAACTGTACAAACAATACAAACTAGACCGACAAACAATACAAACCATACAAAAAGAAAAAACAACCGGGTTGATTTTTGAGACTCCATCCCTATATAGAGGGGCTCCTTCCCAAAGTCAACCCGAGTGTTTTTTTAGACATACAAACAGTACGAACATGGTGGAAAAAAATGACAAACTAGACCGACAATCCATACGAACGGGAAAAAACTCCCGGGTTGACTTTGGAGGCTCCATCCCTATATAGAGGGGCTCATTCCCAAAGTCAACCCGGGTGTTTTTTAGACATACAAACAGTACGAACATGGTTGACAAAAATGATAAACACGGTACACAAAAATAACAAAGTTTACAAACATTACAAAAAAAATCGACAAACATTACAAAATAACAAAGCGTACAAACATTACAAAATAAATCGACAAACATTACAAAATAACAAATCGTACAAACATTACAAAATAAATCGACAAACAATACAAACCATACTAACAGTACAAAATCTCTCTCTCTCTCTCTCTCTCTCTCTCTCTCTCTCTCTCTCTCTCTCTCTCTCTCTCTCTCTCTCTCTCTCTCTCTCTCTCTCTCTCTCTCTCTCTCTCTCTCTCTCTCTCTCTCTCTCTCTCTCTCTCTCTCTCTCTCTCTCTCTCTCTCTCTCTGTTACGTGGGATAATTCCCTTTCCCATACAAAACACCCACAGACCCAAAAATTGCGACCCTCCCTGGAAAAAATGGCGCCGGCGAATTCCCAAGTAAAGGGCCGGCGGTGGGAGGGCGGAGGGACAGCGTCTGCGACGTGACGGAGATGCAGGCCAGGGCCATTATATTGCTGGCCGGCGGCAGTCAGGAGGCGGCGGATGACAGATCGACGACGAGTGTCGGGATGGAAAGTCCGCCGGAAACGCAGCAGCCTTCGGAGGTTGTCTGTCGCCGAAACAGGAAAAAAAACTCGTAAGCAAGCAGGCGAGTTTTTTAATTTTTTAATAATTAAATTAAATCAATTTGTAATTACTAGATTACCCTTCATTAAATGAGATCAATTACAACCTTTAGATTTTAATGAGGCTCAATGGTTGAGATTGACTTAATCATGTGACTAAGGGACCCCCCCTTAGTCACCTGATCTTAGCCCGATTTCCAGGCGGTAGGCTGGCGCCTAATTGTGACATGCGGAGAGGCTGCTCTGGCTGCGGCCCAGGCTGCTGCAGAGGTTGTCAGGCTGACAAGTGGCAGCAACGGAGGAGGGCAGTGGCGGCCTAAGGCTAGTAAGGATGTGTCGTCCGACACACCCTCGCTCGAGAATTTTGCAAAGAACCTATATATTTTTTGTACAAATTTTTTTACTTCGGAATAGCCGACACACCCACATTATAGTCGAAGAATTTATTATCCAAATGAATCAATCTTAATCATAATCCATTGTAATTTTGTTTAAAATAACTCATAAATCATAATCCTATCACTTCCTATTAAAAAAACAGACTCTCAGCTCATACAATATATATGTGTGATGTGTGTTGGGTTTGAGCCTATAATTAAAAGAGAAAAAAAAACCACACGTTAAATGGCCAATAGCCAAGACAAATACTCTTTATCCTTTAGTTTACCTGCTGTTGAAGTTGGTGTTGACTTTACCTGTTGCAACGGCAAGCTGTGAAAGAGCATTTTCAGCTATGAAGATAATCAAGAACGATCTTCGAAATCGGTTGAGTGACCAATTTGTGAATGATTGTTTAGGTGTGTATATTGAAAAAGATTTGCTTTGCAGCATAAGAAGTGATGAATGTATTTTAGAGACATTTCAACAGATGAAAAGTCGTCGTAGTTCGTTGTAAATATGACATTGTGAACTTTATGAATTAATTTCTTTTAATTTTTATTTAATTTTTTATTTAACTTAATTATTATTGGATTTTATCGACGACACACCTCTTCGACAATTCTGCGTCCGCCACTGGAGGAGGGAGAAGTGTGGCCTCGCCGCAGGTCGCCGGGAGCCACCGCCGGTACGCGGAGGCGGTTGCCGCGGTCACAATACAGTCCGCATTCCGCAGCTATCTGGTTTTTCCTGGAAGGGGATTGCTAGAAAGTTGAATTTGGAAGGAAATACGAACAGGGGATGGGAATTGGGTGCTCGAACATGATAAGGGTCCTTTTCTATCCTTTGTGTCAAAAATCTGAAAGGAAGTGTCTCACACCTTCAAAAAAGACTCGTCTTCCGCGGCGGCGAATCTGCCGCGCCTCTCCGCCATCCACGTTCTGATTCCGTCGCCGGATGACACGTCTCTTTGTTCTGAGATTGTGGTTTTCGTAATTCAGTCTCCTTCCTCTCTGCTTTACAACTGTATACCTCCCACCTCAGGTAACTAACTCTCTTATCCTTTGTTTCTCGTTTTCCTGTGTTTGGGTATTTGCCTTTGTTTTTGGGAAAGCCCGGCTTTACTTTTACAATTGATTCAATGGTATTGGGATCAATATGGTCATATCCCTTAACCTCCTCGGAATTGGCATGACACTAGTTGTTAATTTGACTGTCCCTGTAGAGCTTTTATCTTTTTTGGGTTTATCAACCCAAATGAAAATTTTTATTGAGAAGGCTCTTCTGGAGATGGTACTCCAGTGATTGTGATGCTTTTTGGACGGTGCTTTTTGGGATCTCTGCCGGATCTGCCTCTTCGATGGTGGTCGACGATGGTAAGATTTCTCCGATCCCAATTTCGGTGGCTCCTTTGATGACGCCCAGATTTGATTAAGTTCTTTCCTTTTAATTATACTGTTATCAATGCCCATTGATTATTTATCGGTTACTCTTTTTGCTCTTTTTGAATTTTATTTATTTCCCTATAACTAATTAGAGTCTTAATTACATTTTGCCTCTAACTTTCCCTAATCAAGCATTCATAATTCTTGCTGATTAGAAGAGAAATAATTAATTGGCTTTCGGGTAGTTACTTTCCCTTTAAATATGCTTTATTATTATCATTATTGTTTAGCAATTAAACGTCCTTTTTTAGTGG